AAGGCCCCTAATGACAAATGTAAAACAATTCCAACAAGAAAACCTTCGGCCTGATTTATGTACAAAATAATGAACGAAAAACAGATAGGATATACAGCAACAAACGAAAACCACTGAATTACAGGCTCCTGGCTTAGGACAGGCAAATACAGATAGTGGCGGGGTTCAACATGATAGCGGGCGTCCAACCCTCCCCTAACCTGGGACAGTGGTGTAACAGTACAACATATGAACAAACTATAAAAATCAGTTGAAAACGTTAAATAGTACATTACAAGCGCTGGAATTCATTTCATCAGTGCTGAACTTTACATCTACTGCGCTAGTTGTGACATCTAGACAGCTGGAGTTTAGATGTTTAGCGCAGGGTTTTATATCAATAGCACTAGATTTTTAATATATCTCCCGCACTAGACTACATCAGCAGTGCTCGATTTCCTCTATGCGAGCTAAATATTGCATTACCCGAACTAAACTTTATATCTCACGATAACTCTTTCTATGTAAGAGACCAACAGACTTTCATTCTTAAGTAAGTTTTATACTTGATATTGTTTCAAAATTTAAAATGCATGCTGCATTTTCACAAAATCACAATCAAATAAAACTCGTGATTTTTACACCATGTTTACCTTTAGTCATCAATAACAAACCATTGTTTATTTTATCATGAGATTCTTTTAACAAGGTTATGTTGAGTGGCATTTAGGAGAAACACAAATTTCTGGCAATTATATTTTTAGAATATAAATGTCAACTCTCAAGTTTACTATAGAAAAATAAGTCATAGTTTGGCGGATGTAACAAGATGTGTGAATGTTTACGTCAAACTGAGTAATATCTCAACATATTTAGGACTAATCAGAATTAACATTATGTATTTCTTATAACAGAAAAGGGAAGAAATGTATTTCGAATGATAAAATACTTGACAAGACCATGGTATATTTTTTTCTCATATAAGATGGACTTTAGAAATTATTATATTGTAATGATTTATTTATAAATTATATAATTTAATCGTGCACATTTCATTTTTAGGGTACGAACTTGACCCGACCACAGTCACCTGTATCCTGATCTTTATCCTGAACGATAGTAATTTAGAAATATTCTTATCATTGTTGAAATATCGACAGCAAACATGATAAAGGTATCATTTATATTTGAACATAGTAGATGAAATACTTTTTAAACTTTTTGAAGGTAAAACAGTTGACATGAATACTTAAAACCTTGTCTTGACCAATGTACTGAGAAATTTAAAAAAAAGGACTTTTAATTGCCTTATTGATTTTTGGTTGACTATAAACTTTTGAAATCCTTATTGTCTTTTAAGTTGTAAAAAAAATCTGTTATGATAAAATCATTTATTATCAATATCAGCGCTGAAATTTACATCTACTGCGCTAGTTGTTACATCTAGACAGCTGGAGTTTAGATGTTTAGAGCAGGGTTTTATATCAATAGCGCCGGACTTTATACTTTCATCGCTAGATTTTTAATATATCTCCAGCTAGACTACATCAGAAGTGCTCGATTTCCTTTGTGCGAGCTAGATATTGCATTACCCGAACTAAACTTTACATCTCACCATAACTCTTCCTATGTAAGAGACCAACAGACTTTCATTCTTAAGTAAGTTTCATACTTGATATTGTTTCAAAATTTAAAATGCTTGCTGCATTTCCAAACATCACAATCATTAAAGCTCGTGACATTTTGCACCATGTTAACCTTTAGTCATCAATGTGATTCTTTTAAAAAGGTCATGTTGAGTGGCACTTAAAAAAAATTGTTTTAAATATAATGTTTTCCTCTTTTACTGACACAATTGAAAGACTAGACTTCATTTAAAGGTAAAATATTAATTATTCTAAGTTACTCCAACCAACAGACTCTCCAATACGTTTCGTTTTTTCCTGAATTTTTTTTTAAAAGAACATGGTCTTTCCAAAGAGGTGTCAACATGTTGAAATTTACATTCCATCTTTCATTACAAATAAATGAGGTCTGTAGTCGTATATCCATAACGTTTTACATTTTGATTTTCCATTCAGTACCCACTTGACAAATCTAAACCAAATTTGGCAGAAATTGTTATTTAATGGTGCTCCATTAAAATCATACATGTTGATTTGAACAGATTTGATATGGTCATACATTTTCCATTTCTCGCCAGAAACGAGTGTACCTATTGTTGGTCACGAATATTTCTTTATCAATTTCTTCAATATATTGTTCATATATATTTTATCATCAAGTGATTAATATTCTCATTGGACGTGGGAGCATATCTATACGTCCTTGTAGTCAAGAGGAGTTGTCATACTATTAATTTAAACTTAAAAACAAATTTTAGTCTTTTGCACATGAAATTTAATTTTTGTGTTAAAGTTAATTAAACCGTTATTTACGCGAAAAGGTTTCTCAGGCTTATGAAATCTGTACAAGGGCAGAACAATGCTTATATATGAATAAAAAAGGATGATATACAAAATGATATGTTCATGGTCGAAAGTAGCGCTGTGTATCTTAATTCAACGATTTTCTTTATTAAAAAGGAATTTCGTTGATTTTTCTATATTTCACTGACAATCTAGGACCTTCTTGTGTAAAGTATCAAATCTGTATGAAAGATAACTCATTTGGCTGGCAAAATATATCTATTCCTCATAACAAAATGTACAAATGCTACTATAATTGTTTAAATGGACAGTGCACTTCTTATTGAACAGTTTATCTCTTTATTTTTTATAAACGTTTGATTTATGTCATCATAGTGCTCGGTAGGTAAATTGTATTTCTAAAAGAAATTGGAAAGGGTTCGGCGGAATTTAACCCTGTTTCTATCCTGCCGTTGCTGCAGCAAGTGTAACCTTATTTATATTTAGAACATTATCAGTAAGTCTGTAGTTAATTTTTAAACATCTGTAGCTTTGCCAAACTTACATTGAAATTTGCAATGCTTGGACATAAGCTTCTGCGTGATCACCAAACAGTATCCAGAACAAAATGTTGAAAATTATTATTGTTTTTTTTTTCCGTGTTTTATTTGCTGTTAACATTTTATACAGCCTAGGATAAGTTTTAAGACATCAATAACTGTGTCAAACCTCCATAGAAATGTTTGAAATTTTTCTGCAGCAAGTGTACAGAAGTTTTTATGATTAAAAGCTAACGTCTGAAGCAAAATTTTGAAAAAGTTTTTTTTTCTTCATTTACCGTATTTTGCAGATAGATGGACTTGGTTCTTTTTCAGGTTGCATATAGTCTAAGTTAAATTTAGTAGACATCAATACGCCTTTATGGAACGTAACATAACCCAGACAGAAGCTACTTCATCAATAAGAAATATGGTCTGAAGAGATAGTTTTAATAATAATTCAACATTTATTTTTACTTTTCATCTTGAAATTATTATTTTTGTCATTTCTATGGTCACCTTGTCAGTAAAACTGACAATGGAAATGGTTTTTTTTCAACACAACAAGGAAGATTTTTGATACCGGTAAATGAATTCCACAATATATAAATGTTATGTAATGTAATGTTTTTAAATTAATAGAATTCCAAATTGTGCGGACATGGAAATGCATTCAGAAACTGTAACACTAGTCCCAAAAAGGACCACTTCGAGATCAATTCGAAAAAAGTTATATACATTAAGAAAGGTTTGTTAGTTAAATGTTTTTGATAGTCATTGTAAATCAATTTAAGAATAATAAATATGCGAGGCTCGTTTAGGAGGATAGCAAATCTACATATATAGATATATAGGAATAATTTATGTGTATATATATTTTTAACATCTCTGGGTAATGATAATTTAAAAGCCCAAACTTCGTTTGCCTTCAAAACACTGTAGTATATTATAACATGTCAATTCCTATTGTTTCATTTCAAATACTAGTATCTGGTGTTTTTTTTAGATATAAGTGTTTGCAATTTTTTTTAATTTATCCTTAATTGTCTAATACAGTTTCGTAAAGCAGGATTGGGTTCAAACAATTTGAATAAAAAACACTTTCCATCTGATTAGTCAGATTTGAATCCGAAGCAGTTTTTTTTCGGATGGTTCTTCTAGATTGTCAATGTAAATGTTAAATTGTAAGGTCACTTCCATCTGATTAGTCAGATTTGAATCCGAAGCAGTTTTTTTTCGGATGGTTCTTCTAGATTGTCAATGTAAATGTTAAATTGTAAGGTCACGCACGAAATCTGAACTTTAAACATAACAACGCTGGCCTCCATAACTAACTTTATGGACACAACTTTAAAAATAATTATCAGCATTTATTTTACGTCAATCATGAATATGATCAGAATCTAGAAGTCAGTGTGTTGATATTAGCGTGTTTAGATAAAACATATTGTGAATTACGAAAACTAATGTTATAAATCCTTCAGGAAAATTTAACTTAGGTTTTTGCTTTCAGTTTTAATTTGTATTGGCTCAAACGTTTTATAATTTTGACTTTCCAACTCTTATTAAGGCTATTTAAGAAATGCTATTAATACCATATGTATTTTATGTTGCCTAATATCAAAAGATATTGTTTCAGATACACCTTCTTATTGTCGTAACCTTCGTAGCAATGGCTGTGTGCACAGTTTATTCATTGGTGGAAATTCAAAACATGAAAAATGAACGGTAAGACTGTAAAATTAAAATTGTTGAATCATTTACTGCCTTTGTATAATTCATCTAGTGAAAAATTGCTAGGGTTTATACGAATAATAAAAATAACAAATTGCGTAGGGTCTACTTTTTGAAATGTGTAGAGATTTAATTTTATATCCAGCCATCTTTATCATATTACATGTTCACTATTTCAATCATTTTATTGAATATGAATTGATAAAATTTGGCAAAATTTAAAAAAAAAAAACGTCATAAGGACTTAAAGTCATGATGTGTAGAAGTTAAACTTATTCTCGAATTGTTGATTGAATATTGCATGATTGATATTAATATATTCTCTTTTATTCAGGGAATAAAACTTTACTGATGCTCAAGAAGTATGCAAATAAACAAGATGACCGGAGCAATCATTCTTCATCAAAACACATTCCGTCATCTACTGACAAAGATGGTAGGTATAAAAACAATCTCAGGTGATTCGTCAGAATTTATATAATTAAAACAGTTTAACTAGAACACAACGTTCCTATTATTCAATTCAAACAGGTACACGATAGGGTGATTAGAAATAATGACACTAATTTTGTGAGCAAACGAGTAAGAAAATACTAATATATACCCATTTGTGCCTTTCAGATCTTCTTAGTAATGAACATCTTCAGGATTGCCTTGGATCACGGGAAAAACAGACATTTCCTGATATAGACTATACTTTTTTCGGTTACAATATTTCAAAAGGTTATCCGCATGCCATCGGTCATGATCCAGGATTTACTTATCCAATTTTTGAAACAGACTATAGTGAAAAGAGACAGTCCGGAGACTGTAGATACTTTATACCCCGAGGATTGGTTGTTGTTCCTGATGTGTCATGCGCACTTTCATTCTCGTCAAAAACTGTAAAAAATATGCTCGAATTGTCTCAGGCTTTATCTGTATCGACTAGTGTTCATGGCGGAGGTTGGGGTGTCAATTTTTCTGCGAGTGCTGGATATAAAGAATCGTCCAATGAAATGTCTTCAGGCGAATCAATTTACATATTTTCCAAGGCAAAGTGTAGATACTACTTTACTAAAATGCTGACAGAAAATCCTCCTCCATTCACTATCGCTTTTCTTGATTGGGTTTTCAAATTGAACAGTACGAATACTAAAGAGACATATATCGATTTTTTTGAAACATTCGGAACTCACTACACTACATATACGTCATTTGGCTCCAGATTTACTTATCAATATAAAATGAGTTCAAAAAGCTATCAATCAGAAAAAGAAAATGGATTTAATGTTGAGGTTGCAGCAAGTTATTCTGGACTTTTCAGTGCTGGGGCAGATTTTAATATGGACTCATCCCAAAAGGCGGCTGCATCACGCTTTTCGGAATTGGTCGAAACGAAAACCATCACAGTTGGAGCCTCACCACCAGAAGATGGGAAAGCTTCGACCTGGGCATCAACTGTCAAAGATAATCCAGTGCCAATAGAATACAGTCTGGAATCAATCGAAAATCTCTTTACGAAAAATTTCATGAGTCGATTGGATGTAGATTGTGACAGGATTCGGTATAATATAAAAGAATATATATCTCGATTAGAGTATTGTAAACATTTGAAAAACACTGGACAATTAGATACTTGTGAAATTGTAAGACCAGGATTCAGTAAAATAAAAACTTTGAAAAAAACGAGGCTTTATTATCATTACAAAAGGGTGAACTTTTCGACACTTAAAGAATGTGCAGAGATGTGTCTCAAGGAAATTAAATGCAAAGCCATCACACATTGTGTACATTATTGTAATGATGACTATTGTTATATGTATGATCATGGTGGATGGAATACTAAATGGAAATCAGATAAGGCCTATAATCCCTCTGATCCTAATGTACACTGGTTCGATGTTGCAGGCATTGAGAACAAAGAATGGCAAAGTGCAGTATTTTCAACTAAAATTCAACAGCCTATGATATTCAATGCCACCAATATTAAAGGCGTATTTCGTTCATCATTCAGTTTGAAGGAAATGTATACGCAGAGTTCTTGTAATTCTCGGTGTGAGAACGATGATTTTTGTGCGGCATATACATTTAGTTCCTCCGCGGATACAAATATGAAATGTCACCTTTATACAGAAAGTGGAATACAGGGACTTTTCGAAGATTTTGAGACCAACACTTATTTCATAACTAGTGTCAAAATTCCTGACTCTAAACTGAAAGATCGCTAACACTTGCTTTTGATCAACTATGTAGAAAGAATGTTCCATTTCGATACGTTATCGCATATACACTATACCAAAATACACTTTTCCTTTCTCTCAGTTTCTCAAATTTAATTTACCAGTTTATGAAATTTCCAAGTAATGTTCGAACTCTATGTAACGTTTGCATTGTACAAAGACTTTGCAAATATTGACAAACGTTTACTCTGATTTGTTTGTTTTTCTATATTAAAAGTGTTGTAAATACGTTAAAAGCGCGCCTACTTTATTTGTTTGTTATACAATTGGAAGTTTTGATTTGTAAAATCTTGGATTGCAAAAGTTAAGTCACAGCCAAACGAACGCTTTTTAAAGGAGGGGTAAAAAATAATTAAGGTAAAACAAAAATTATTTCGGGGAAAAAAGGGTAGTTTTTGATTGGCTACCAACTGGCACAAACGTCTTGTTTTGAAAAATTTAGATGTTTTGGAAATTTCATCATGATAAAGTACTTATTTCCAAGCACAATAAATCAATAAATTTGAATGAAACTGCAGGTTAAATTCTAAGAAATTAAATTAAGATAGTTCCCGGTCAAAACAAAAATAAATGAGGTAAGAATGACTACCTCTTAAATGCTTTTGTACAGATTCAGTGATATTTAAGTTTAAAATATCAACTATGTCCTTTAACTTTATACGTTTAATGGGGTTTGCCAAGATGCATGGAGATAGTATAACTGGATGAACTATGCAGTCGTATCATATGAGTATAGGCTCATGACGGAAGAGGAGTACAGTGATTTTCATAAGAATGACATTATTTTTATAAACACCAAATATATTGTTTATAAACAATAATCAAGCATCATGACAGTTTCACGTACAGTTCTGTCATTTTCTGAGTTTTTTTTTACAAACTGTCATTTTCCCGTTCCTCAAACAAGATATTTGTATCTAACTTTTTTTTATATAAGTCTTTAAGTTAGTAATGAGAAATACGGATGAACAGGGTTGAGAAATCAAATGTTTGGAACCATTATTACTATATACTAAATAAAATACGTTGAACTTTTTCTCTTTGTTCATAACAGCTTACGTCTTTATTTTTTTATTGCTGTTGCCTCATTGCCTCAATGAAAGCTACGCCACTACCAAAGGGTCAGTAAGGACAACAATTACTTTCAGGGCGATACGTAACAGCTTTGAACTCCCAACAATGAGCTGAGACCTTGACTTCGAGTGTGAAATATGGTCTTATTTGAGCTAACCGAAAATACAAATTTCATGACTTACTGGAAGTCGACTTCAGGTAGACATACTATCTGTTGATGACGTAAATGACTTATATGTTATATAGTGCGTCTGAAGGTTTTAATCCCAAAAAAAATAAAACCATAAATGTAGTAATTAAGACCGTTCTGAAGAATCTTTAGATAAATGTTTGTTGCAGTGCTATGTAAAAAATTATATCTTTTCATATCAACTTGCTTGGTACTTACAATCTGTTCATTTATGACGATTGAGGTTTTGGTTAAGCACATATTGTCTAAGAGGAAACAATAAAAACAGATATAGGGTTAGAACAGACTTGCAAAAATCGTTATCAGACTGATAAGGGAGAAGGAAATGAATGAGAACAAACCCCCAATCATATACACACCTGTAGTGCACTGAATGTGTTTTTTTGTCATGGAAAATAAAAAATCATTATAGTTTAGGGTTTTTGATATTTTCCAAATTGTCGAGATGATTTAGGAAACTTCTTATCACCATATTTACAAAAAATATACTTTCTTTAAAAATGTTCTTTGTTAATAAAAGTTCATTAAATTCTAAACCTAGTACCTTTTGTTAGCTATTATTCGTGTGTTTCTTTGTCCTATATGTTCTCCCATTTATTTGTATTGTAGTCATGTCATGTAATGTTGTCATTTTAATGTTATATTTAACATTGCCATGAAAGCGGGAGGTTTGGCATGCCACAAAACCAGGTTCGACCCACCATTTTTTTCTTAAAATGTCCTGTACCAAGTCAGGAAAATGGCCATTGTTATATTATAGTTCGTTTCTGTGTGTGTTACATATTAATGTTGTGTTTTTGTTGTGTCGTTGTTCTCCTCTTATATTTGATGCGTTTCCCTCAGTTTTAGTTTGTAACCCGGATTTGTTTTTATCTCTATCGATTTATGAGTTTCGAACAGCGGTATACTACTGTTGCCTTTATTCTTCAACTTTGGAAAAAAAAACCGCTCTACTGCCTAATAATCAATACAGCTGTAGATAATAGAATGCATTCGATTTGTCAATCAGTAAAATTTTCACTTGAATAGGCGGAGCTTTGCCTAATTGATGTATGCATCATCAAAGTATTTTTAAAAGGAATAATTGCATTAAAAACTTAGGTAAAAACTTCAAATGTCGTTTCCTTGAAATGAACAATTGTTGTTTTGTTTTTTTTTTTTTTGCTCTATAATTTTGTTATTGATTTGTCCTTCCAATTGTTTTGATTTGAGCTCCACTAATGAGTTATATGTATCAAATTTTAAGTTTTGTATAGTTGATGAGTTTTTTAAATGCCATAGTTTTTTACTGGTTTAGTTACCAGTTGACACTCAGTATGATAATAAGAATAATGTTGCGTTTTCCATTGACTTTGCGAAAAGGTAGCCTCGGATGACGACACAGTGCATCCAACTAATTTAGGGTCATGCACTATGTCTTTAGCTTGGCTGCTTCTTTCGAACAGCCAATGTGTAACTTAACACACATTAATATATTAATAGTATTCATCCGCCCTTGCATGGTGTCATAGACGTTTTCGTTAAATTTTTACTCCTCAGGAGAAAACTCTGTGACGCAACAGTGCAAAGTCAATTAAATTTTATCTCAACTTAAATATTAATGTAATATTTCCCACTGGACGTTTAGCAAGCAGCAATTAAAACAGACGTTTTGGGCAAAAAAATTCAAAGTTTATGAGAAATAAGGAAGTATTAGATTTCATGGAACTGTTTCGATCTGAAATCATCTGTAGCTTTGAAACTAATATATCTATAGGCAGTCTAATACTGTATATGTACTTTTTTTCGCGAGTTCTTATTTTCGCGATTTTGTTGTTGTTGACGAATTCGCGTGTATTTAATTTCGCGGTATTTCCAAAAATACTAGAACATAAATTACAGACTTAAAATTCATAAAATTCTCATTAATTAGGTCTTCATTTATTTAACAATAGAAACAAAATAAACAAAGATAATATTCAATCATAAAATCAGTCCTGTGTTTTGATAAATGTTCAATAACCTGATTAAGTCGTTAATTACTTAATATAGCTGTCATATTTAGCTTGGGATATTTTTTTTTCACCTTTTGTCCTTTTATTCTTAATTAAATTTCTGTAAAAATAACTGGTGTTGTTTTAAAAGTTTCACGGTTCAATTGAGGTTATCTGAAGCCAACAAGGTGAACATGCATATACAGTTGTAAATTCCAGCGATATTTATTCAATGGTTTTTATATGCATGAAATCTGCATTCGAATTCGCGTGTATTTATTTTCACGAAAATATACCTACCGCGAAATTCGTGAAAATAAATACACCGCAAAAATTAGTACATATACAGTATTTTCCCACAATTCAAAAACAAGTTACAAAGGGTAAATCGTACTTTGTAAAAAAATCACTCTGATTCAAACAAAAAATTCTCTGAAACTGATAATATCAATATGCTTGATTTCTTGATTGACAACATATCTGTTACGTTTAGAGGACGCGTTTTTAAACAAACATGGGAACCAACTGTGCTCCTCTCCTTGCCGACTTGTTCCTTTATTCATATAGGCTGCCCTCATACAGGAACTTCTTACTAGGAAGAAAGAAAAGAAGTTAGCATACGGAGTATATATCTCCAAGTTGATACGATATTCCACGGCTTGTATTTCCTATCATGATTTCCTTGATAGGGGTTACTGCTCACAAGGAAGCTATCAAACCAAGAGTTTCAAGAGATGAAGTTGAAATCGTCTCTTCGTAAATTTTACGGACGCAATCACGAGTTGGTTGACCTTTATGTAATATCTGTTTCACAGATGACAACGGATATGTTCCAATTGTCGTAACTACAATCTTGTTTCATTTTCCCCAAATGTGACCTACCGAATTAGACTTATCACCGGGTTTGTACATACATGAGCAACACGACAGGTGCAACATGAGGAGCATGATCTGCTTACCCTTGCGGGACACCTGAGATCACCACAATTTTTGCTCAGTCATTGGTTTTCTATGTTGTGTTTTGTGTACTGTTGTTTGTCTGTTGGTCTGTTTCTATATTAGCCATGGCGTTGTCAGTTTATTTTCGACTTATGAGTTTGAATGTTCCTTTGGTATCTTTCGCCTCTCTTTGAGCAGTATCCTTTAACTTCACTTTCCGCTATATAGAGGATGTTCTTTCACTAAATAGTTCAAAATTTTGTGAATATGTCGAACACATCTATTCCATCGAACATATTACAACAGACACAGTTTAGTCTGCCTCATATCTTGACACATCTAGAAATTGACAATGAGGGTCGTTTGAAAACAAAACTTTACGACAAAAGAGATAATTTCAGCTCCCCATTTGTGAACTTAACATTTCTGTGTAGCAACATTCCAGCAGCGCCTGCATACGGAGTATATATATCCCAGTTGATACGATATTCCTGGGCTTGTATATCCTATCAAGATTTCCTTAATAGAAGGTTGCTGCTCGCAAGAAAGCTATTAAACCAAGAGTTCCAAGAGGTGAAGTTGAATTTATCCCTTCGTAAGTTTTACGGACGCCCTTACGAGTTGGTTGACCGATATGTTGCAATTGTCGTAACTACGATCCCGTTTCCTTTTTCCCGAATATGACCTACCGAATAAGACTTATCACCGGATTTGTACTAACATGAGCAACACGACGGATGTCAAATGTGGAGCAGGATCTGCTTACCCTTCCGGAGCACCTGAGATCATCCCCAGTATTGGTGGGGTTCGTTTTGCTCAGTCTTTAGTTTTCTATGTTGTATTTTGTGTACTGTTATTAGTCTGTTTATCTTTTTCTTTTTTAGCAATGGCGTTGTCAGTTTATTTTCGACTTATGAGTTTGAATGTCCCTTTGGTATCTTTCGCCACTCTTTGTTAAGCCATAATATGCAAAAATAACCACAATTTTTTCGGTTATTCAAACAATCATCATAACCCTTTAAATCATCAAACTTTCATAAGCTATGATATTTTATCTGGATCTTAATTTATTATCTGGAAATAAGTGTCCAAAGACGTTTATTACGAAAACATGCGGTTGTAAAACGACAAAAAGCAATGTAAGAAGCAGTCATATACTTATTTTTAGCTGTACTTTTATGAGTCGATGACTACAAAGATTCCCTCTGTGACCAAAGATATCGAAGACATATACACACATGGAAAAAAATAAATCATCTATGAAACATCAAAATAAATAAACTCATTGTGTAAACTAAATGGTTTTGTTTTTCAGAAAATATGTGATTGTTGTGCTATGATCGTGTATTTACCATTTAAACCCGCATGCTTGCCACCTATATATTTTAATCCATTTAATTTTTTTTTGTCATTTTGATATATCGCAAACTTGTTTTGAAGAGGTTTTGAAAAGTGTCGGAAAATATAATGATAATAATCATATTGCAAACTTGGTTATTATATTGAAGTCCAGATTTTGGTGGGGTTAATGTTGTTCTTTCTATGTTGTGTTTTGTAGACAGTTTTATGTCTTTTAGTCATTTTTCGTTTTTTATCATGACATTGTCAGTTTGACCATACATCTATGCCTATGGTTTGACTATCCCTTTGGTATCTTCCGCCTATCTTTTACAACCACTGGGTCGATATCTCTGCTGGTTGACATTTTGTCC